GGCCTTCGTGCCACCGACTGTCCTCAGGCTGGGCCCGCAGGAAGCGGCTGCCCTGGCGCCTTCCCCTCCCCTTGTCCCTGCGCCGTGTGCGGGGTGCGCTCCCTGCCCAGCCGTGAGTGGGGGCACCGCGGCAGCCCCCGTGCAGCAGCACCGAGAGCCGTGTTACCGCCCGGCGGGCCCGGGCAGGGAGGCCGGAGAGGATGCTGACTGACCGCGAGGTTAGACCTGGGAACGGGAGACGGCGGCTGTACGCCGAAAGATCTGATCGGGAAGCCACCTCATCTATGGGAAAGAAACTTGAGCAGGAGCAGAGGTAGCTGCTGCCAGAGGGGAGGCAGTGGCCGCAGGAGAACAGGGGCAGGGAGAGAGGGGCATGAGGGCACCGTGGATCACAAAACTGACCTGGTTTGGGACTGCTAATTCCTGAAGGCCGGCTGTTTGCAGCCTGTGTCAGGCCTTGTAAAAGTAGGGTTTCCCCTGCTAGGGATTTAGTGTGCGTGTTCATAGATGCCACAGGATTGAGCACAAGGGAGATGGATGCCCACTGTAAAAGTCTCCCTGCACAGAGGACACTCCACTCTTCAGTTCTTACAGTGATGAACTACAAGTGCTTGTCCAGCTGGATTATTCATGCTTTGCTTTCCTACACCTGCATCCTGCTGATTTTCTCTTGTTGATGTTTAAAAAAGGGATGGGTTTTGCATATATATCCTAAACCCAAAAGGCTTGAAAATCAGTCTTCTTGCTCTGCTGCTGGGTTTCATTTCTTGTCAGGGTTGTTGCCTGTTTTAGGAACTAGATTGCCAAGGAAACAAAGCCCATATGAGCACAAAGGCGGAGCGCTCACAGCCTTTGTGTGTGGGTGTGCTTGTGTGTCTGTCCTTCCTCCCCACCCTTAATAATTTTTTAATCTGTTGGTCAATTGGTCAATCGGATTTGACAGAGGGAAGGAGCCTCCAGGAGTGATTATAAACATCCTGAGTAGGGGAAAAAAAATTAAAAATAGTGTGGAACTTGCATCTTACTAGAAACGAGATAAACCCATCTGTGAAATCTGAATGCTTCAGAGTCCTAAACTTGCAGACCCCAGCCTTTGGGAGTTCTCACAGAGCAGGGACAGCAGTCCCAGCTCAGGCCTTTGTGTTTAACAAATAAAAAAATACAGCTATTAGCAAACTTGAATACCAGGTGAATCTGTCAACAAATCAGGAGAACAATAAATCACCCAAGTCAGATAGTATAGGAATAAAGCTTTGACAATGAGCTTCAGTCTCTAGGCAGCCAAGCAGGAGTTGCTAAAACCTGGTATTTCCAAATTCTGGAATACATGACTATGTTGTGCAGTGCTCCAAATTATGCAGACATTTAACATAACCTCTCTCCAGTTTCCTTATCTAAGAAAACAGATGTTAATCACATTTGAAAAATTGAGTACAAAGAGGATCTCGGCAGAACTTCCTCAGGCCTGATCTGCATCCTGAGCTGTGCAACAGCTTCATTGCTGCCCTACCAGCTGCACAGGAGCTTGCTGCTTTCTGCAAAATCAGAACATGAAACCTTTTGTGCCACTGTTATCACTGCACACATTTAAGCAAAGCGTTTTGTTTTACAAGATGTATAAAACTGCTTTTGGAAATACATACTTTTTTTCTTTCTTTCTTTTCATTTTATTTTTTAACTGTGCTATTTCCCTGTTCTCAGCTGAGTGGTTTTGGTTATGTCAATGTTGCAGGATAGTGGAAAGAGTTCTGGCATTCAAATGTTGCCCAACAGTGGAAAATTTTCAGGCAGTTGTAAGGAGAGGAGACATTTTGCACATGCCCAGAGATACTCAAAGAGTTTGCTTGACATTTCTGGGATGTTGCAGTGAATAAGAACTGTTTGGGGTATTTTTTCTGGTACAAACCACTTAAATGTAGAAGTGTTAAACTTCTTTGGCAACAGGTAATTTGCAGAATCTTTCCCTGTCTTATAATTAATAACTATACTTTTCCCCTCCCCTTCCAGTTGTGCCTTCTTTATGCCTGAAGAGAATGGCACCTACACAAGTGTGAAGGAGGAATAACAACATTTTGAGGGAGTAAATAGTAACAGAGGTGAAGTGTAAGGATTTAGGGTAGGGCAAAAAACCCAAGCAAACTAACAGCAAACCAGCAAGGTTTTTTCAGAGACTTAAGGTCATAGGGAGACATTGTGTGTGAGTTGCATGTGACTGTGTTCCAGATCCTAATACAAGGTTGGTAACTCAGCTTGCATATGGAAAAAAGGGTTTTTTAAGACTGACTTGTGAGAACAAAGCATGAGTAGGTGAAGCACATATGAAATGTGCCTTTCTGAGTGGGCAACAATCACTATAGGAGGTAGGGACTTCTTCATGCATTGTATCCCTGAAGTCTGCCAGTTTGGGCAATGACCTACTTTAATAACACTTCTACAAAATATTCTTCAGTGAGGCTTTTGCTCTGCTGAAGTATGGTCAGCAGAGATGACCCTGAAATGATTCTCAAGGGAGTCAAGAATGAATCTTTCCTTCTCTGAAAAAGCCTGAGTCTAATATCTACCCAGATGAGCACTGTGAAGGGCAGATGTGGAACTGGTGGTAGGTCTAATTCAAGGACCACACTAATGAAGCTTCTTCAACATCTACAACTTCTAGAAATTGAGTTGTACAGAGGTCGGGCCTGAGTGATTTGGCTGACATATGAAACACCCACATCTTTATGCCCTCAATCGATTACTTCAGCATAGCTCTTTGGAAACTCTTTAGGATCCCTGGGTTTACTGGCAGAGTTCACAGTGTACGTTTTATGGACTCATACAGCTTGTATAGCTTTAGGGACAAGTGCTGCCTTTGCAATGCCCTCCCATGTTTAAATAACCAGCCTGGGAATATCTCCTAAATTTTCTGCTAAGGCAATAGTACTATGAATAGTTCAAGCTGGAACTGTTTCCAGGTATACTTTTAGTTTTCCTTTTATCTCATGACGTGACATACTCTTAGAGAAAGGTTGTGAGGTTACCTTGGAGATGGAGGGCTTAACCAGAGGGCTGTCTGTCATCCTGAAACGTTCATGTTAGCCAATATAACTGAATGCTTTCAACAAACAATTGAGTGAAGCGAAGTGACAAAAAGCTTACGAAACGGTCACAGGGGAATTGCATAAACTGGGGTCAGATGTTCCATCTAAGACTGTTACATGAACAAGGAGTTTTGCAGCTGGTTGACAAAAGGAAGCAGGAGGTCAGCTGGCCTCTAGTTGATATAACAACAACCTGTTGTGTTTCTCAGGCAACAGAGATGCCTGTAGTCTTTTGGCAGGATGGATCAGGAGGATTATTTCCTCTTTTCCTGGAACAATGTTTGAAAGCTGAGAATGTTTTTCAGCCAGTTGAATTTGGGATTTCTCTTGGAAGTGGCAGGATCCTCTCAAGTGCTCATACACCATGGCACAGCCTTTGAGTGGATCAGTGGGAGGACTTCAGGAATGTACCATCGATTTAGCAAAATGTAAATGACTGAGTGGAAAAGAGAAAACCTACAGGTTTGCTGCAACATCCAGCTGGAAAAAAAAAAAAAAAAGGAGGAAAAAAAAAAAAAAAGGAAAAAAACGGGGG